CGTGCAGTAAATATTACACGTGGAAGAAAGGAGGGAGCAACAATCAAGCCATTAATTAAAGGCTGCCTGGTCTGACCAAGCCAGTGCTTAAAGCACAGTTGCCATGGCATCACTGCCCCTGGATGATGCTCCAGCCTGAGTCATGCTCCTCATGCTCCCCTCTGCTGTCTGGGATGCCTGGCTGTCCCTGTGCACAGAGGGTGACACCAATGGCTTTGGTGACTCAAGCCCTCTGCAGCCCCAGTGAGCTCCACAGGAAAACAAATGCATGGCCAGCAGATAAACCTCCACTGACAGACCAGTGCATCAGTAGGAACTCCTACAACCAATATCAAGGGCACATCTAGTGTTAATATTTTGTTGGGTGAATGAGAAAAAAAGCATTGAATGTATCTGTACCTCAGTTTCCTCCTCAGTGGTGTGTGAAGGATATATGCAGCAGTCTTTGTTTGAGTACTTTTTAAAACTTACACCAAAAGTGCTTGGCAAAATGCAGTAAACTATGATTTATTAATGATTTGTAGATGGTTCAGAAACTGAAATGTCACCTGTACCAATTACAAGGCAAATGCCATTGACAGCCACCCCTTCTATGTACCCTTGTGGTATCTAAACTTTTTCTTTAATTCAGGGCAGCTTTAGCCAGGGGAAGGAGATTCAAAGGGTCATCCAGAGGGCTGATCAGCTTGGCATGGGTTTAAACATTTTCAAGTAAATTAGCCTGCTGAGATTTCTTTGTCACGTTCCAAGCAGAGCAAATGTTTGGGCTCAATCTGAACATCCGGAAAAGGATGCAGAATTTTGGTGCCAATGCTTTTTTAGTTTTTCTGGCAGATCTTGTGTGCCAAACTACTCATGTGTCCAGAGGTAAACTTAATCACCAACTCTGAGAATTCTCTCCACTCAGCTGATGGAGACATCAGGCTTTTCACTTCCTCTGTAGCAGGTGGCTTTCACCTTCAGCTCATGAAAATGTCTTCATATGTCACACCTAATTCATTCCTGCCATTGCATCACTTACTCTCTGGAGCACAGTTCTTGTGTCAACATTTTTCTTTTATTCTATATGATGCAAGTATTTGGCCTGATTAAATTATAGGCTGGGTGCTGGCACACAATTTAGGGATGTCAGATACACAAGAGGCCAGACTAGGCAGCCCCAATAGTCCCTCTCATGGAAAAATGAGACCAAATGGAATCATTACAAAGCACCACATAATTTCAAAGCAGCAGGCACTGACAGCAACTCACAGGCAGAGCTGTGACCTGTGCCACTAGGTGATTGAGGTACCCACCTGGCCGTTGACTTCTCTGACACTGCTGTGATGGCACAGCTGGGTGCTGCAGTGACTGTGTGCACCAGTGGACAAACAACAAGCAAAACCTTGTGCAAGTCTCCTCCTGAACACCCAGACCTCCTTGGGTGCTCTTGCAGTGATTCATTCTGACTCCAAGCTGTCCAGACAGCCCAGTGAGTCCTCCACAGGAGCAGCCTGAGGTGCCTCAGTCACTGTGTCTGGGGACTGCTGCCCTTGCAGCACTGGCTGTGTGCAGGCTGGAGTCTCTGCTGACTTCTCAGCATGCAAGATCCTGCTGCTTCTCCTTGGAAACAGCACTTTCCGTTGTGCAAATATTAAAATAACTTGTTATGACTTGTTCATTTAATTATGGAGTCAGTTTGAAAGCTTCAGAAGAGTGAAAGGAAATAATATTTCAATTGGATTTTTCTCATTGGTACAGAAATAGAATAGGAAATATCTAGAAAATTAAGTACATTAAGTACAGCTGTCTCATTTTAATGAAAAATGTATATGAAATGAAAGAAAATGCATTTTTATGTAAATGTCATCACATGTCTTTGTTTAAGCCTTCAGTCTTTCTCATCATGGAGATGATCTCTCACACCCCATGAATCTCTAGTGCTGGAAAGGACCCCAGCTCTTGGCAGGTGGCATAACCACTCCTGCTGGCTGGCTTTGTCACAGCTGCTGAGCACTTCTGTCTGCCCATGACAATCAAACTTCCATTCCCCGTCTGTCAGGCACTTCAGACTTTTCCACAAGTGCATATGAGATCAGTGCTCTGCAAAAAAGGAGGGCAACTTAAACAGGAGGTAACCAGGCCCAGGTTCAGTAAAAGTGCTCTTGACTTTATTCCAGGCTCAGAGAGATGCCATAAACTTCCCTGTGGTGCATTTAAGATGTCCCAGTAGTTCACCTGGATGAACCAGCACATTTGGATTGTGAAGGCAGAGAGAGCTTAACTGGAGCTTTCATCAGCAGCCACAGAGCAATTGGTTCTGCAGAACAGTATTTTAAGGAGACTCTTTTGAGGGCTTATTCTTATGTTCAAACGAGTTAACACATTAATGACACTTTTATTTCTTCTTGTTCTTCTTTTTTTTTTATTATTTTTTTTCCCCTCAAGCAGTGTAAAAGCATGCAGGGAAAATGCAGGGAGGCAATAGAGTGACTGTGCTGCCTGGCATTGCCCACCAGCCAAAGGGTGGGGGGAGCCTCCACAGCAGCTCCTGCCAATGTCTCTGTTTTTCCTGCTCCTGAATGCAGCGTCCCGTGAACTGTTATAGCACAAAACCACATCAGATCTCTAAGCAATCTGCTTCATGCGGGTGATGAACAGCAGTGTGTGCAGGGTGCCAGCACTGCTGAGTACAAACTAACCGTGAATGCCAATGCCCTGGTTCACCAGACCCTGGGCACAGTGACCTCCTTCTCACCATCATCATCTGGAAGCTTTTAAAGCTGATTGGATGAATGATGAGTATACAACATTTTCATGGACAAGTGGCAGAATTAATGCAAGATTCTCAGGCCTGGGGAATTCTTTAGTGTTCACCAACAGATTGAGATCTAAGCAGATTTTAGGTGACCTGCATCTGTGGTGACAGCTGAGAAATAAACAATTCTGCAACTAGGAAATATTGCTTCCAGATTCTCTTCAATTTATTATCAATGCAGTCATTATCAGAAAAGATTGACTGTGAAAAAATACATGCAATTGCTTTATCTGACTGCCTTGTTTCCTCCTCTCTTGCTCACTGAATGAGTCTACCTAATGTCAGGCTCAATAAAGTCAGACAGCTGGCTGTAGGAAACAAACAGACCCTCATTAAGGGAGGCCCTTTGTGTTGCTTTTGTTTGTGCTCATCTGCTTTACGGGAATAGCCAGGAAAAACATGAATATTTAAAGCACTTTGCTGTGGCTGGGAACCAGCTGAACACAATTTCTCTGGTGTTTTGCCCCTGTGCCACCTCCTCCAGAAGGAAGCCTCAAAGCCCACTGACCACTCTGCTCCATTCTGACAGAAGTACATTTGCTGTGGCTGAAACAGACTGTTGGGTTTCATGTGCAAATGCTGTCCTCTATTAAAATATCCAAAATTGATTTGAGAACTGCTTGGTTCCGTGATTCCTGCCCAGCAGCCCATCCCCAGCAGAGCACTTGCCCTGTGGTGCCTGTCAGGGCTCTCCTTGCCCTGCATGTGGGTGCCAGCCTGCTGCAGGGCACAGAGGTGCAGAGGGCACAGAGCTCCTGCCTGTGCCTGGGAAACACACCAGCCAACAGAGCAGAGCTCCTGCAGCAGGGCACAGGATTTAGTCAGCTTGCACCCCACCCTTTGATATTGTGTTTAAACTCCCTCGAGTCTCTGTTTCATTCAAAATCGAGATTTTTCTTTTGGGTAGCTGCATTAAAAGAACACAAGCAAGGGACCTTCTGCACGGCAACATTGGGGGATGGATGGGCAGTGGGAAATGCAGCTTCCTGCAGTTCAGGCTGTCACTCCATATCGTATTCATGGGGAAAATGACCTGGCATTCCTTGTAGAATATGAAGCACTGGGGTTTGCACTGTTGTTGCTCAGTCTTGGGAGAGGATTGACTGATTGGAATATGAAAGATATAAAGATACATGCTCAGAGACTAAGAATAGTATCGATCCTCCCTTTGTAAAGTCATTATTTTTCAACAGTATATGAAACTTCTGTTCTGAAAAAGACAAGTGTAAGGGAAGAAGCCGATTCCTAAAATAAAGGTGCAGAGTGATAAGGTGGGATACAGTATCTGTGCTCTTTGGTATATACTGCACTTAAATTCAAAATCCCAAAGGGAATTGAACACAACCCCTGTAATGAAAGGGATCCAGGACCAAAACTGGTCTTTTGGTAAAAGCTATGAATTATGTAGAAATAAAACTCTGAGAGATAGGAAATGGAGTGCATGACCTCATGAGCTTCTCTGCAGCTGTATTCTCTGATTCCCTTATGACTGAGGATCTGGGAATTGTGCTGCATAGTTCCCATGAGCACTCTTCTGATTTAGGCTCTGCAAATCCCAGCAGAACCACATACTGGGACACAGATACCTCCTCTTCCTTCAGTATGAGATTTCCTCATTTTCTTGAAGAGTCTCATCCACTTATTTACATTGAGATGAGAAGAAGAAAGATACTGTGAGATTTCACAGTTAAAGTACTATGAAAGGTGGTCTTAAAATAGGTAGAGAAGATGTTTTGTTTCTCTGTGGGTTAGCTGTGGAGTTCTCTGGGATTGTGGAGAGCAAATTGTCTGTGGGGAAATGACATTTCCTTTCCAATTGTGCTTATGCACTGTGCAGTTATGGGTATTTGGCAGCTCTTTTATCATCAGCACAGGTTCTAAGGGCCACGTTAACCATGCCATTAATTCAGTCCAGGCCTTTAGGCACTCTGCAATGCGCTTGAGCCCCTTGAACCTTAGAACTGGGGATAATGTGGAAGAAATTGGTGCGTCTTGGTGTCAAATTCTAATGAGGTGCCACATGGAAATTTCTGAGACACGGTGGAGAACAGAGGACAGGAAATACCACCAGTCTCTCCACCTGAGAAGGTGCAATCCAGGAGAGTGAAAGCTGCAAGAGCCTCAGAGGAGAAAGCAGTTTAAGCTGATGTCAGAGCACCAACGAGGCTCAATTCAAATCACAAACCCATGAAAAATTGCAAAATCCAAATCCTTTGTGAAGGTTTATTTAGAAAAACCACAACGCTGGGGAGTCACTGTTACATAGCGTGGTAATTCTCTTCCTCTTGAGTAATATGCACCACACCGTGCGCATGCAATTACTTTTGTTCCAGAGCTAACATCGTCATTTATTTATACATGTACACATATGGCCCTCAGTGCACACTACACTTCACATGGATGTTAGGACACGCACAAAGTTGAGCTTTTCCATGAAAAACCTGTATAAAAAATACAAACCAAACTGAAGCAGTCAACACGAGAAGCAATGTGCAAAAATAGTTACTCCTGAATGTTTGCTTAAGAAAAAGGGACTCTTCTGTCCTTGTTCCCCATTCAGCATTGACAATGCCAGATGTTGTCTGAAAGTAGGATATGAATTAACTGGTCACATCCTGCCCCCCTTCATGTTAGTTGCAGAGATTTTTAACCAGCTAAATAATCCTGTATTAGTATGAAAATATGCCTCCAAGCATCACCACTGTGTGCTGTTGTTGCATCCAAGAGATTTTATATTGTTGTGATGTCTGACCTGTGACACTCAGGGCTGGTGACAACCAAGGCCTTGTGTGGAGCACACAGAAGAGGCAGAACAAAGACATCTCTGGTCACTGAGCCCCATGGCAGGGGAGCTGCCTGCAGAAAACAGCCAGGGACTGGAGCTCTCCCCACACATGCTGGAAGGAGCCAGGCTCCCAGGTCCTGGCCATGGGGTGCACAGCTCTGGCCCTGTCTGCTTGCCCGTGGTGGGGCTGGTGCTGGAGATGACCCCTCCAGGCTGGGGCTCCTCCTGCAGAGGAACCGTGGCTGTGCAGAGGGCATGGCAGATGGAGGGATGGAGAGCCCACAGGGCCTTCCCCAGCCAGGTACCTCGGTCCTGGTGCAAACTGGGGCTGCAAAACTCACCTGACTGGGTCAGCACGTGTGTGGCTCTGAGCAAAGCTATACAGGACATGCTGCAGACACCATCAAGCAGTCAGACCAGCCCATCCTTGTGAGACTGCTGCATGCAAATACCAACACTGTCAATGGCAGCTAAGACTAGAAATGGATTGCACTTGTTTCCCTTGAACACAGATACGTACCATTCATTAATAAAGAAAAAACAATCATTAAAAAATCTTCAAACAATTGACGGATAATTGGGATTCCCTTGGCTGGATCAAAGGAAAAAAACCAAGAAATTAGGGGAGAGTGATTTCTGTCACTGGAGGTTATCAGTAACATAATCTTTAGGTGTTGTGGATGAGGATTCTTCCCACCCATGAAACTTCATGGTGTAAAGCCCAGTATTCCCCTGGTAATCCAAATGCTTTTAAGGATTCTATTTAAGCCCATGCAGAGTTATGACTGTATTACAGAACTTGTAATTTTTTTTAAAATGGGAGATCAAAGTTTTTTCACAGCAAATCCTGCACGGATCCAGGGAAAACCTTAGCAAGACTCCCCTGTGTGTTTTGTTTTTTACTTGCAAAGCAAAAGTTTCTGTTTATTGAGGAAGAGAAGAAGTGGAAATTGTAAAGACTGGGAGGAAGATAAATTGTAGAGACTTCTTGGGGAAGTAAACTGTGGCTACTGCACTTCATATCCCAGCTCAGCAGACTGCTTTAGCCAAGTATTTTAAGTGGGATTTCAGTGAGTGTTATTCACTTTGGACCCCATACAAAGACCAGTATCCAACAGGAAGAGCATTGCCTTGGACCTTCTCATTTCCTTACAAAAGGCACAGAGGGAGGGTTCATCCTGTTAGCTCACAGCTCAGCAAGGTGAAAACATCGCTCAGGGAGCCGTGCCAGGCATCCCCAGGTCTCTGCTCCCAGAGCCCCACAGCAGTCCCTGCTGGCTCAGGAGCATCCTGCAGTGGCTGTGGTGTCCGGCACTGCCCGAGCCAGCAGTGCTTCATCCCTGTCTCAGAGGGGCCAGTGTGCCTCGGGTGACAGTGCTGGCTGCAGGAGCATTTCTGCAGCTTCCTGAAAGCTTGGGGTGTGTGACACATCTGACCTGAGCGTCCCTTGACTCTCACAGCACGTGCACGTGGAGCCAAATGAACCTCTGGCTGTCAGTCAGCTGTTGGCAGTGATACAACTCTGGTAGAGAGTAGTTTTAGATGGTGAAATACACAAGATGAAACATCAGACTGAATTCTTACTGAAATTTCAACGCTGTTGAGCATTGGGTTTAGCTGCTGCTTTGTGAGTGCTTGTAAGTTAAGGCCAGGATTTAGCAAAGCATTTGTGCATGTGCTTAAATCTGCCCTTATTCAGATAAACACTGGCACGAATACTCATGTGCCTTGTGATACAGGAACAAACCTCAGCTGCAGCATATAAATGTCAGTCATGTAGCTGTCAAAACTACCCCTTTAATGTCTTTCCCTGGTAGCACAGTGGCTCTCCTGGATAAAGTATTTAATTAATATTCATCTAAAAGATCCTGAGAACATGCTAACAAAGGTACATAAATACAGAACTAAAAAAAGTCAAACTCATGGCTCAAAGCAAAACAAATATTGCTCAGAATACTTGTTTAGGTTAAGATCACTGGCTGTAAACTGTGCATTCTAGTAGCAAACAAAAACTTGTTGGCCTAGGAAAAAAACCCAAAACATTCAACGTCTACAGGATTGGCAACACTAATATTATTTTACAATGTGGAGTAAGAATAAAAAACATCAGTGTAACATTGCAAAATGATCCACCTAACCTAAGCTTATGTAAACAAGTACGCTTTGACAAAGTTTATACGTCTAGGCGTGATCCTGCACAGGGAGCTGGACGGGTGGAGACCCAACAAGGGAGACAGGAGCTGTTCCAAGGTGGTTCCAGCTGCCCAGATCCCTGCAGGAGAGAGGCTCAGGGGTGTGAACCTGCAAACCTGTACTGGCATCACTAGTTCTACTCCTGGGAGCAGCCCATTGCAGGATTCAGTTCAGCAGGACTATACACATAAGTAAGGATTATTCACAAACATAAGGCATTGCAGAACTTGGCCCTAAAGTTTCTATTTTCAGCAGAGAATCCCTTATCCATATACAAGGTCATATTTTTACATATCAAAAAGTGTCTAAAATAAGGGTCAGAGTCACTATATGTTATGCTCAGTAACACAGTTAAGATGCATATTGGCTTCAGATACTGCAAACCATTTTCTTCATTAAAATCAAACCACCTCTGAACCTTTCTCATAAGAATTAAATTAACCGTGAAAATTAAAAATGAGCAGGCTCTGTTTTCAAGGTTAAAAGGAGACATTAACAGAAATCAGCAACTCCCATGGTAACAGTTTTCCAGTGCCATCCCTCCTGAGCAGTGAGCACTCTGGGACTGCAGTGGTGGTGGCTCCAGTGCTGCCTGGTGTCCTGGTGCTGTGGCTACTGCCGCTCCCCTTCCACCCGCTTCTTCCGAACTGTGGAACAAGGAGAGAGTCATTGCTGCCTTCCTGACAGCCCCAACACCCCCTCCCACAGCATGGAACAGCACAGAAGGGAGGAGCTTCTGGGAAATGCTCAGAAGAATTATGCCCGCAAATGCCATAATCAATATACACCATAATGCTCAACAAAATAATTCTACCTAAACTGCATTGTTTGTATCGCAGACTGTAGAATTTCACCAAGTGCTCACATCAGTACATTTTCCACAAAAATCACATTCTGAGCTAAAGGTTTTAGATTATTAAAAATGTCACCACTTCCTGCACTTCCTTCCAGTGATTCCATTTAGATTTTATTACAGTTTTATTGTTCTTTCAAAAGATACAGTGTTCCAGCTAAATTGATACTGGTCTGCTCCAGTCTGCAATGCTCTGGATTACTTAAGCTTTAGGCATCAAAAATTAATAACTTCTGTAATTGCACAGTGTATACTATAGGTAAGAAGTAGTCACTTTTTTTTTTAAATAATTTGAAGTACTATGAAGAACTGATATCCATTACTATTCACAAAAAATATCATACCCTTCTGGGACACTGTCAGGAAAAATAGTATATAGTTGGAATGCTTAGGTATTGCTAAAAATTAAAATTTCAACCCCCTAAAAGCATGTATGAAAGAAAAAGATTTTAGCTCAACTTATATCTTAGTTCCCACAGAGAGAAACCCAAACTGAAACCCACAAAGACATCATGGTTTGATACCCCAGTCTCAAGCAGAACTGATAAAAAATACTAAGTTTAATTTCTTTTTTTCCTCTTCTCATTCCAAATTTCTCCTGCCCAGACATCTCCTTTGTATTCTGTGTACTGAGCACACAGGGCAGAGCGTGTCACACTCAGGTGACACTCGCAGGGTTTTATTGTCTTTGCCTGTACTTGGCCACAAAAGCAGGAGGGTCTGGTTTGCTCCCTTGGCTGGGCAGGCCTGGTCCATCATGGGCTGGACAACAAACTCAGGACTTCTGTGTCCTCTGAGAAAACAGGATGGGTTTGACTCCCCATCTACTGGCCAGAACAGCTGATAGAGCAATGAGAAATCTAGGACACTCCGTAGAAAAGGCTGAAATAACTCCCCTTCCCAGAAGGAGCAGGAGAAAAATAGTGGCTCCTAATCCCAGTAAGATCTTTGCTGTTTTCTGCTCTAGAGCCTGAGGAGCTTTGCATGTCCCATCACACGGAGCAGCGTGAATGCTGTGGTCAAAATTCCATCTGAATGTACAGACAGGGAGAGCTGTGCCTGGGAAGGTCAGGGCTTGGCTCACACAAAGAAACGATGAGTAAATGTAGCGGCATCTTACCCAGATCATTGTTTTTAGTGATAGCTGCTGCTACCCTGGTTCTTGGACCTTGTTTTGTGAACTGGTATCCAAACTTGAGAATCCTGGAGTTCTCCTCCAGCATCTTGGCAATCTCCATCTCTACAGCTGTCCCAAGCTGCTGCCTCTGTTGGGGATGTGGTGAAGTGTCCCCAAAAGAAAAGGAAACATTTGCTTTCATGAGAGAGAAGTAAGTGGTTGCATTTAAGTACTGAGCTGCAAACTACAAAGAGAATCCCATCCCTGCAGATTTTGCCCTGGGTTTTGTATTTGGCTTTGAGTATTTTATTGAAAAGTTTTCCACTCTTTGGTTGCACTGACTGGGGACATGAGCTACAGAATGACTGAGCCAGAGAGGCTGCCTTGACTCTGCCAGAGGCCCCTGGTAGAACCCTCTGGGAATCCATATAAAAGAGAAACAAAAGTGAACTTCCCCAATGGTCTCTCTTTACCTGGTTGTCAATTTTAATCTCTGTTAGGGATTCATTCTTTTTCAGTGCATCAATCAGTGCCAAAATCCCTGTCCCAGTGATGAAGTTGGATTCTACATTCAGACTCTTCAGTGTTTTGTTCACTTTCAACATATCTGCAAATGCCTGAAGGGCCAAAAAGAGGGAACATGAGATAACATCTAGAAAGTTTCAGGGAAGAACAGGGAATCTGCAAAACATAGCTTAGTACCAACAAGAAATAAAACATGAATACGCTTAGAAGAATGGAGAGGTAGATCAGAAGAGATTAAATTTCTACTTTTCATAGCCATAGGGAATTCCTGCAAGGGAAAATAAAGAATGTATCCTAAAGCAGACATGGACCTACTTAAAATTAGTTGCGTTTTTTTTTTTTTTTCCCAGTGATGTTAAAACTTACAATTGCTACGGGGTCATTGCTTCGAGTAGCTGCAAGACTGAATGTCTTCACATGTGTGTTGGATTCCAGAGCTTTTGCAAATTCTTTCAGTGTTGGAATAGGAATATTCTAGGGTAAAAAGACAAATCCAGTAATTAGGAAAGCCAATCACACTGCTGATTTTAATTGATTGATGAACTGATTGATGAACAAGCACAGTGAACACCCCTGCAGCTTTTAGGAGTGTGTCAGGGTGGGCACAGTGGCCCCAGAGGCTGGTGCTGCCCGCGATGCCAGCACTGCCCAGAACTGGGTCACACCAAGGCCAGCACAGGACCCTTGCTGAGCCACTTGCTACTCCTCTGCCAGTTCTTCAGTCTCCAGTGCCAGCTCCTCCTCCTCCTGCCTGTGAGGGCTAATTGAATTTGGCCAGTGATGAGTACATAGTACCCATGGGATATCTTCCTTCACAATCTGCTGAGAAAGGCAGCCAAAGGGAGTCACCCCCTGGGCACTTAATCAGCATTTAATTCAGTATCGGGAATTGATGACCTTGGAGACACTACAACAGTCCTTTCCCCACCCCTTCCCTGAGCGTCCTGCTTTTTCTGAACAGTAAGAGAGACAAAATTTGAGGATAAAAGGCACAGGCTTTAGAAGTAGTTGAATAAATCTTCCTATGATGACATGGACAAAACCACAGCATCTACCTTTATGTTGTTGAGATTAACTTCTGTGAGACCAGGATCATTTGCCTTTATCCTTTGTAAACTTGCTTCCACATTGGTTGGATTAGGTGGCTCCTCAAAGATGGGCTTGACCTTTTCACCTTTCACCACATCTGCAACACAAAATCTCATGAGATGTCAGCCAAGGAACAGGCACCATCACTCTGGCTGTTCCATTCCCACTTAGGTTTGTACAGCAGCAATCCAGGAAGGGTTTATGAGAACCACAAAACCTGCAAGCAGGAGTATTATCCCCCTTATCCCTGCCATGCTCTGTGCACCCAGAGCTGCCACTGGAGGCTGAGGTCAGGGAGGATGGGCAGCATTATCAAGGGCAAACTCCTCCTTTATATACAAAACCCCTGTACAATTAATTGGAGCCAAAGCAGCTTTGAAGAGTATTGTTTGGGATGTGATCTAGTGCAAGGGCTGCTTTGTACTTTGTCTAACATCTGTAAAGAAATGTGTGCTCAGAACTTGCCCACTATATTAGTGAGAAAATGTCCCTGCACCTCTGAATAGACTGTGCTACATAAAGCAGCATGAGCAAGAGGCCCCTCAGTTTCCTCCTCTCAGCTGATACTATCAGCCTTACTATAAATTCAATTAGCTCTTGTAAAATTGCAACATCTGCACTTTTAAAATAATAAAACTATCAAAGCATGAAAAGTAAGTCTATCTGCCAGCACCAAGATTTATGAAATCTTTGAGTAGTCATGTTCCAAAGAACTATGGTATTTAGTGCTGGAAGCTATGAGCTATAAATATTCTCAGAGAGGCATAAAAATCATAGCTTAGAACACAATTAGTACTTCTAATTCCCATGCACAGAGTTATGGAGATTAATTTATTAACCCTGACTGCCCAAGCCACTAGAAGCAAGAAAGGAATATGTGACCACAAGTATGTTTGAATCCTTTTATTTTATGCTGCAGACAGGGAGAGGTCTTGAAGACTTGTGTTCAAATCTCAGTGTACTACACATTTCTGTTCCTTGCAATGGGTAAAAGTTCATGCCATATCATGGGCCAAAAGAAAACCACATCTTATTTAGAACTCATACTCATAGTAGAGATGGTCACAGACAAGTCTTGAGCTGGTTTTCACTCTGCTGCCTTTGATGCCAAGCCTTTTTTTTTATACTAATTCCCTGAGAGACCTCAGATATCCCTGATGACACTTCAGCCTTTCTAGGGAGCTGGGAATTGAAAACTACCTTTAGAGAATCACCTTGGATGCAAGGATAGAAAGTAAATTTAAAAAGCAAATAGTTTTTTGCACTTGTGGCAGCACCCTGCCAGACTGGGAGCAGGGGAGACACAAGCATCCTGTCCTCAGGTTAGACATCACAGTGTACTCAGTCTAGAGCTAGGAGGAATTTTCATTTTCTGCTTCTTGTTGCTTTCCATGAGTTTTTCTTGTTTCTTTAATCATGGTGTTGTTTTGCCACATTGATGAGCAGACTTTTACTGAAGCATTTCACTTGGCTAAGGAAAGGTATTGCTTTTGGACCAAAGAATACAGTGATTTTCTGGTTGTAGGTCTGTGATTGGAGCATAGTTTAGCTGACTCACATAGCTGACTTTTTGACTTCGTACAACAAAAATATTCTGAAATCTATGAGGATTAGTAATGCATGCAGTTGCCTGTTATGAGATAAATGGCAGCTCACACAGGGCCCCACTGGGAAGGCTTGCAGGGCAGCTGTATCCTGAGAAAAATGAAGTGACATGGTGTCCTGTCTACTTCCCACCTCCCCTTTAGCAATGGAAGATGGAAAGGAAAGCCCTTGGTAAAGATAGCTGCTGTTCTCATGGCCTGAGAAGAAGAAACATTTTTTTACTACTGTTTCCCTAGGAAAAGGCATTCCACAGTTTTGTCTTAAAAAGTAAAGTTTAGCCCACTAGATATCCCAGGGCCTGGAGGTGACAAGCTCTGGATCAAGGCTTGGCAGGTCTCAAGAAAAGCTTGGAATTCAGATGCACCCATTTGTCCCATCCAGCCTCCTGTGGGCTGCTGAGCTAAGATCAGATCCACCAAAGGTCTGTTTACTTAGTGCAAACATTTCTGGATTTGTTTTTAGTAACTACAGCTGTTTCTCTTGGGGGATTTCCAGAATGATTCCATTTCCTGTGTCCCTGGGGAGCCACAGAACAGGCACTCTGCACCACTGCCACAGGAGCCAGGTGCAGGTGGGAGATCACAGGGAGTGCCTGGGGCAGGAGCACATCCAGGCAGCCTTTGCCTCCCTGTGAATTCAGGGATTCTGTCACGTTTGAGCCCAGTGGTTGCAAGTAATTTTTCAGGTGTGTAAATGCAGGAACCTGGGACAGGATGGCCTGGCCTGAACTGTGGCCAATTCTTAGCTATAGCTCACTCTGTCTTCTGCCTGATGCCTAAACTGAAATGGAATGGAAATTTATATGTTTTGGCCTCTTAAATACTCCCACTCCTTCAAACACCTCTGCAGAGCCAGATACTGCTCTCTACAAAAACAAATTTCCTTAGGAATGATCTGTTTGTATACTACTGTTGTTATTACAATGAATTTTAAGATCATATTTACTTTTAAAAAGTCACCTTTCATGGTGAATTAGATCAATCAAAGTTAGCTCCAGTTACACGACACTAAATTAGACCAACAGACCCCACCTACAGCTGTAGGAGTCCCCAAAGACAACATGCAGCCCACAAGAGAAATCTGCTGGCTTACTTCTCACAATTCCTTTTCCATCTTTGCCACGGGCTCCTGCTTCATCGAATTTTGGGTTGTTGACCATGTTGTGCACTCCAAGAACAGCTGAAATGTGTAAGCACCAGCAAGAGGATACAATGTTAGTGACAGGAACACAGACTGCAGGAAAGTATCTGCTACAAACTGTAGTTTAGTTCCCCAAACAAAACCCCCTTTATAAAATGTTAACTGTGTGCGTCATGCCTGCTTGTAGGGAGAGTCTTTTGGGCTCCAAATTCTGGAGATACAGACACTTTCAGTATAGATTTTTGAACAATTGAGTCAATGTAGAATGCATATCCCAGCAGTGCCAGCTGGAAGGAACCACTGTGGGTCATCTTGTCCAGCCTCTCCCCCAGGCAGGAGTGCTGCCAGCATTAATGAGGTCAGCCATGGCTTTGTCTGCTGGGATCTGAAACACCCAGGGATGGAAACCCCACAACTCTTTGGGAAAATTGTTCCAGTGCTACACTCCTAATCACTTTTCTTCCCCAATGCACAATCTGAACTTCTTATTACTTATATGTTCTGTTGTTTGGTGTATCTGAGAATTTCACTGCACATGTGATGAGCTGAATGCATTGGCATTCCCACCAGGGTTTCCAGTGGAAGCACATTGATACTAATGGGCTTGGAAAATAACCAGAAGTGGTGAAGATACCCAGGTCTAATCACCTGGCAACCAATTTTCTCATTCAAGGAGTTAGATTCCAAATTTCCTCATGGATTCAGGATCTTTATACACTGCATGCTGTAACAAGTTCATCTGGCTATTGGGATGTCAGAGCTGAGAGGAGGTAGCTGTAGTATGCTACAAACAATGTGGATACAGTGGGATCAGTCACTTCCATTGCAGTGCCAGCTCCCCAGCCTGCAGTCCAGTGCCCACCCTTCCCTTCCCCAAATCACATGAGCTGCTCCCTCCTCCCCCCTGGCCTGACACATCAGCTTTAAGCAGAGAAGTCAGAAATGCAGCAGCTGTCGAGTCACTTCAATCACCCTGGGCAACGTGTGGCCCACGGCATGGCCACCCATCAGAGCAGCACCAGGGGCTTGAGGGGTCATCATGAGACACTCCTGGTGGCAGGTGTGGCCAGAGAAGAGCTGGGCATGTGGGAGATCATATCTGCATGTTTTCTAACCTGCAAGGTCATAGAGCTCGGTGTCGGAAGCACTGGCCAGGGCCTCTTCTAGCTCTGGATCCAGGGTCACCTTCTCTTCTGTGCGGGTCTCTACAGGCTTTTCTTTAGGGATAAATATTTTTCCTAAGATAAGGAAAAAAGCCAGAGTGAGTAATGAATTATTGGAACAACTTCTTTGCCTCCTGGCAGCAGAGGAATAGGTCTGTGACAGTGGAACTGCTTGGAAATATTATCACATGTGTGTTTTTCTCTTTCTCACTTGATGTTATCCTCCATACCAGGATCTTAATAAGTCTAAAAATAAAAGGTGCAGATTACTGCTCTGTGTTGGTGATTGTTATTTTAGGAATTTTCTCTCAGGAGGAGTCCCAGCTGGGATTTTTCTGAAGGTCCTGTGTCCTTAAATAGGCAGAATCAGGCCTACACAAAAAGCTTGCAGAAATTTCATCCTTATATTTAAATGAGGCACTAGGAGCAGTTAAAACCATCCTACTGCAAGAATCCTTCAGTTTATGAACTTCCATACATGATCCTGAAAGCTCAGCAACCCTGTTCTCTTCCAGTAACTCAGTTTAATTCCCAGCCTCTCCAGAGTATTTTCCCTCTGTGTCTCCTGATGATCATTCACATAAATAGCCTTATCCTGATCATTTGTGCCTGAAAGGTCTGAACTGAACCACATGTTGCCCCAGAAAGACTCCTGGCATATTTGTTTCTCTCTGTATCCTACTGATACCTTTGGGTTTGCAGATATGTTTCCATGCAATATTCCCCCAAGACTGAGGTCACTGGCCTGTCTGCTGAAATGAGGAAAATGCAGGATAAATCCAGGAACAACACAAGTTCCAGTACTCCTTCAGGCTGCTATGATGGTTAACCTCAGTTACTGATGATGTAACTGCAAATGCTTGGAGTGGGGCCCTCTAAGTCAGAGCTGGAGCTGCACTCAGTCTCCAGCACTGCTGGGCTTTTCCCACTCAGCTTTCCTGGCCAGCCCCTGCAGTCACTGCAGAACTGGATGATCCCCAGGCAACAGGCACTGCCACTGCTCCAATAATTGAGGGAATTCCCATGATCTACTGTCCACTGTGCCATAGTTCCCCTCACCTTGTCCCTAACAACTACTTCTCAAGCAGGCTTTAATTAATCCTGGTGTAATGATGATCTTTGGCGCAGGCAGCTTTGGCCCACTGTCAGCTTTAAATTTTCATTTTGTGCAGCTTTTTACACTCTAGATATAATGCTTGAAGCATTACATCTAGTCCTGTGGCTTTCTGAAATGTCTCTAAAATAGTTTAATTTTAACTTCATTAGTCATATTGTTACCATTCATAAATGTAATCCTGATATTTAGTATTGAATTACAGATGTTTTGCCTCTGTTTTTTCAACACTGTCATCCTTTTGTGGCTTCATTTTTCTCCATTATGGTCCAAAGTATCATTTTCATGTAGTAACTTCCAATTCATTTATATCTTTTATACAAGTTTGTCTACAGACATTTTTATGCTGTCAGCTTTCATGACTCAAGTCCCTGAGTAAGCTCAGAAAAAAATTTTAATGGAAATTTCTGAAACATTGGCAAGGTTTATTGATACATGATTCAAATTATTTACCTTTGAGATATTTCTACCAAGGCTAAACCACTTCTGAGTACAAAACTAGACAGAAAGTTATGCAGAAAGTCAAAGCAGTACCATGGTATGATTTATTTTTCATGGGATACTTTAAGTAAGTAATCTTTTTAGAAAAGGCTTCAAGAAGATAAAAGCCTTTGGTGGGTGAAAGGTAAGAACCATTTTAACTGTGACTGCATCAGGTCACAGCAATTAAGGACAGCCATCCCAGCAGCATCAAACAAAAGTCAAGTGGAAATCTGGGGTAAGAAACATCTGCAAAGACAGGTCAGTCATGCTGTCCAGATTTAGCAGCAGCACAGGTGGTCAGACTTCAGACCCTCTGTGTGCTACCACCTAACCTGAAGTGTTGGGTGGCAGCTTCCAGACACCACTGACCAAGACTTAACTTGATGCCAGCTTGGCATAAGGGAAAAAATTCATTACTGTGCTGGAGGCTAGAAAACCAAAATCAACCAGAATACCCAAGTAAACAATCAATAGTGAGGAATATTGTCCAGAAAGGGTTTTCCTTTCAGATCACTGGTGATTCCACGTGAGTTTCAAGTACTCAGCAGGTGACACTGAGGGAGTTTTTATCCTAATTGGTCTTTAAGGACTTTGGATATGTGAAGGTTAAGTATGTTGCATAGCAAGAAATCAAGGGGTAATGAAAACCTCTAGAGACTCATACCTTTCCTGTACTATTCACATACAATTTTAAACATTTGTTTCAGGCATATGTAATTCTTGGATACCAGCCTGAATCTGGTTAAGTGTGTATGTGACTCCCAATGATAGTTTCATTTAACGCATTCTCGGCAAATCTTTTAGAAAAATAAAATTCTATTCTTGGTTATATGAAATACTTAAAGGGGCAAGGTCATGTCAAAGACAGTAATATATATATTTAATGTATGTGGGCCTTGCTGGCATCCAGTGGTGTTTAAAACATTCATTTTACTGCTATCTAGATAAGAACATTCCACTGTGAAGAGATGCTGTAGCACAGCAGATGGAGGTTAGAAAAACTCCTGAATTTAGCATGTTATTAGGAATTTATTACCTGTCCACCAGCTGCAAAGCCGTGTGTCTGTTTACAGACAGCTGTCAACCAGTTTTCCTTCATTATTTAAGGACAGAGTTTAAAGATTCAGTAGGTGTCTCCTAGTCCCACATCTGTACATTGTAAATTCATTATCCATTCATCATGGAATTCACTGACAAAATAAAATATGGATTGTGGCTTCCTTGATTCAATGGTCCAACTTAAAATTTATAACTTGGAAGAAGCCTTGGAGGAATAGTGACATTTTATTATTATAAAGTGAGATTTATGAAGAAAGGCTGCTGCTCTTGGTCTTCTTTATATTCACACTGTGTTTTAGAAGGTACTTTATTATTACTTTATTCTATGTGGTGTAATTAATGTTGGCTGCGTTATATTTTGCCTCCAGAACATGCTAATGTTCTGTGCTAAGTCTTAACAGTAATAGCTTAACCTTCTACCAATGAAAAACACAGTGACAAAAGTTCTGTTTATGCATAACTTGAGCTACTTTGTTCTTAACAAGACAAAAATAACCACACTTCTGTATAAGAATATATTTTTTTGTTTAACTGAAGTAAAATATAATTTTATTTTACACAAGCATAGAAACCCAAAGTGTGTGGAATCCCCAGTGCTTTCTTTCAGTGTGAAATTTTAAGTGTGCATCACTGCAATTCTCCCCTTCTTTTGGCCAAACTGGGCCAAAAGTGTCTGGGGTGACCTGGGTGATGGCTGAGGCAGCTGATTAAAAACAGGGACTTGCTGAGTGTGAGTGCAGTGAGTCTTGGCTCAGTTTAACAGCAGACCTACTCCTTTTCACCCACTGCACAAATGAGACTTCTATTGAAACTGAAATAGGATATGGTTTTCCTCAAAAGAGGCTACAGAAACAAAATCCATTGACAGCCAGAGGGAAGAAGGATTCAGAGGAAAGCACTACAGAGAGACACAGAAATGTGGACTAAGGTAAAAGGAAAGCAAATTCTCAATTAAAAAAAAATCACTGGGAACAGTCATAGATCTCATTTTGCCACTTGGTCAGCCAGGTCTCTTTTCCTGCATTGTGCAAATGCCCCCATTAAAGCAATGTCAGAGTAAAGCAAGGAAATGAGATCTCCACCTTCTCATACAGTCATAATTAACTACCATATACACATCTATGGGAGGATTTTTTAAAGATATTTTATAATACAAATGTATTTTCTGCCATAATTGTAAAACAATAATGTACTTTCTTTTCCTATATAGTGTAGCTCAGATTATTGTATTTTCAAGAAAATACCTGGTTACACTTACTACTCCTGACTTCTCAATGAATCACTGAGTACAGTGAGTGCCTGTTTGCCCTCAATTACAGAATGCTGCACAGACCTTGGGAGTGAAATTCAGTAATCCTGGAAACCTGCCTTCCATAAATCACAGGCACCTGATTCACTTTTTTCATTTTACACTATTCTTTTCTGTTGACACTTTCTTAAAAACCTCCCTACAAATATTCTATAAAAATGGAGCTAAATTAGTTCTTACCAAGGATAAATTTATATTATGAAGAAGGAAACACAGAAGCCAAGTTCAAGTAAGCATGAAGCTGAACACCAGTATAAAATAAAAATGCAGAATCATAATTGTTGTTGTTCTGTTGCTCTTGGATTAGTGTCAGCATATCCTATGCCTTAAAAATTATGACAATGGAAGAGGAAGGCTGCAAAGATAAGCATTCCAAAGTTGTTAAATCTACTGTGCATAAAGACAAAAAGTGAACTTAAGTTGCACCAGTGCCCTTGACTTTGATCAGCATGCTGGGATTCTGCCACTGCAGCAATACCCTCCAAAGAACTCTCCTGGAAAGTATGCTTGCTCAAACAAAAATAAACAAAAGCCAACCTGTACTTTTTTAAAACAGAAGGAAGCCCAGAATTTCTTCAGACCCTCACATGGATTATCACAAGTCAGGATGCAGCCCTAGGGCAGTCCTCTGCATCACCTCCTGCATTACATCACTCATAAGAGCAGAAAGCTCTTATGTCTGATGTGGAATGGTGCTAGAGGAGGAAGAAACTCAAACTGTGCCACTGCACTTCAGGTCCTCCTGGACATCAAAGACCTCTGAAACATGGGCAGAGCTGAATACCACACTAGTTATGCTCCTTTCTGGCCTCTTTTCTCCCATCCAACACATTCTTCTGCTCTTTTCCTCCCCTCATTGCCCCTTGTGCCTTTCCCATCCCCTTTGAGTCCTGACCCTTCCCACCACCTCTTCTTCTGCCCTCCCTTCCTTACCACTGCTCTTCTCTACAGCTCCTCTCCCCAGAGCTGCCACATCTAATCCTTCATCCTGGAATATTCATACAGCTCCTCAAACCCCCCACTCCACCTCTCTGCCCCAGCCTCTCTGCTGGCTCTTTACTCTTTTTTCTCCTTTACAGTGCCCTTACAAAGGGGGGGGAGCTCTGTCAG